TCCCAGCAAAATGAATTCAGTGATCATTGTGAAATTTCTTCCTGCCATTTATGTAATGTATACGTGCATCTGCAAACAAGACTATGAGGCATATTGTGACATACAGGCATATGGATCGGATACTTAACTTTTCCCCTTAGTCCCACCTATGTTTCCGTGCTCTAAAAAACCCTAGGTTTTTCCTTCAGTATTGAGGTAACCTAAAGAGGTATTTGTAGGAGGGACAAACTTGGATGGTACCAAAGTTCAAAGGCATACAAGATCAATAGTGTACAAGATCAATACCTTTCACAACAGTAATGACTGGCGAGCACAGGCATCCTCCTAATTTTGCAATGTGCTTTTAACAGCAGGTGCTAACTTTCACAGCTGATATTGCTAAGTCCTGTAAAAATGTTGCCCTGGTGGATATAGGTTGGAAAATGGATTTGTTGTAAGGTCTAGCCCCTGGTTTATGAGCCTTGCCTTTTATTGCTTGCAATATTGAGGCATAAATTAGAACAAGTGACAGACCCATAGGCCAGCTTTGCTCCACTCAGGCAACAGGATTATATCCCAACTGTACTCATGCTTTAGTGTCATATACATCATCACCTGCCAACCGTGCCTTCTCTATTTATATCGCACAAACAGATCTAAATGCTAAGGGATAATTTGATATCAATTGGACATCAACAATGGCAATGTTCAGAAAATGGAGAGGAATTCAGTCTCTCAGGATGCTCTATTGCTGCTCCCAAGGTCACCATAATTCAACAAGAAACACTGAGTATGAGGCACCAGCACAAAACAATTTACCAGCAAATTTGGCTCTGCTCATTGAGAGCAAGGATTCCTCCATCACTGCAGTTATTAGATCAACACAGTGCAGCTGGGAAGACTGTAGCCTGTTAGCCTTCCACTTGGAAGAATAATGCATGGCGAGGAGGCGGCTGTACGTCTTGGTCCTGCCCGTCCTCCACACTTTGGCTGGAGGTCTGAAGGGAAAGTCGTTGGACTTTCATAGTCTCAAGCAGGTGGTTGGGGGCCCAAGCATGTAGAAGAAACATCTGGCTCACCTTTCAGACCTTCACTATCCAAGATCCTGAGCTTCTTTCCTTCTCCTTCTCTGTCTCTTTCTCTCCTTTCCTTCCTTTTAGCAATAGGAAATGCGTGTGCATATTAAGGATCTAATATTTCTAGACTGCCATTATATAGAAACCCTATGACAGACTAGACTCACCTAAGCAATTCCCCAGCAATATTCAGAGCACAGTTTGCAGCACTACTAAGATTTCTTGGCATTAACTTTCACCCTAAACACATGGGAGAAAAAGAAGCACCATGCTAGCAAACACATTTTTGAGATTATGAAGGTGGCTGTCTTCAGGTAGGATGACTCTTGAATGGTGTCTGAGGAGATGCTGCATCTGCTCATGTTTGAGGGAGAGTGAAGAGGTCTTTGCATGAAAGAGAGACATATTTCATTCTTCGGCCCCAAAGAGATTTTACATAAGTGAATGTGAGCTGTTTCTTATTTGTCCCACAGATATGTCAAAACAAAGCCCTCAGGACATTGGCCATGAAGTCACAAGTAGACAAACTCATTAAACTTCTCTTTCTGTCCAATTATAGCAAAGAGCTTTTGTTCTTCTTAGCATCCAGTTTGTCTGATAGTTTTCCATAGCAAACAAGCCTGAAACTATTAGGGTACCTATCAGTAACTATTAGTGGGGAATCATCAGGTTGGTGACCAGTGACGAGCAGGGTGCCCCAGGCTCTGTCCTGGGACCAATCCTGTTCAATCTTTTCATCAATGACTAGAAAGAGGGGGTGACCAGTCTGCTGCTGATCAAATTTGCAGATGATTCTAAAATGGGGGGCAATGGGCACAACTGAGGAGCAGGTACTCCTGATCCAGAAGGATCCGGACAGACTATGGAAGTGGGCAGGAGACAACAGGATGGCGTTCAATGCGGATAAGTGCAAGGTCTTGCACTTGGGGATTAGGAATGGGCATCATAAGTACAGGTTAGGGGACAAGTGGCTGAAGAGCAGCACTTGCGAAAGGGATCTCAGGGTGCTGATTGACTGCAGGCTAAACATGAGTCAGCAGTGTGACATGGCAGTCAAGAGGGTGAACACCATCCTTGGATCCATAACCAGAAGCATGGCTTCTAGGTCAAGAGAGGCATTACTGCCACTCTGTATGACTCTGGTACGGCTGCAGCTGGAGTATTGTGTTCAGTTCTGGGCCCTCATTACAAGAGGGATATAGCCAGGTTGGAACTGGTGCAGTGAAGGGCCACAAGGACGGTGGCTGGTTTGCACGGTAAGCCATATGGGAAGAGACTGAGGGAACTGGGTCTTTTCAGCCTTGAGAAGAGACGACTCAGAGGGGACCTGTTAGTGACATATATGTACATGAAGGGGTACCACATGGAGGTGGGTCATGACCTTTTTTCCCCTGCAAATGAGGGCAGGATGCATTCCAATGGAGCAAAGCTCAGGGAACCAAGATTCAGTTTGGATCCCAGGAAGTACTTCCTGATGGTTAGGACTTCAAGGATATGGAATGGGCTTCCATGGGAGATGGCTGAAACCCCATTGGTGAGGATGTTTAAGGTTAGGCTGGAAATGCACATGGTAGGCATGTCATGAGTGGAGCCAGCTGGAGCCAGGGGTCAGACTAGATGGCCTGGAACCCTTCTGTCTTGCTCCATGTTTCTTTGAAATGCCCCTGTGTTGGGATATAAAATGGTCAATGACCATGGGGACAATCCATCCTCACGACTGCAGCACTTTTTTCCTCCCAGTCCATCTCTGAGCCCTGAGTGTATCATGCCCTACAACTTAGGCAACCAAGTTGTGTCTAAAAAGGGCTAAAGTAATCAATAAGTGAAGCACCAGGAAACCAGACAATGTGGCGCTCAGGTCAGTGTGAATGGAACACCAGAGGTCCTGGGAGTGGGGTTAGTTGTGACGGTGGAATGTAATAAATGCACCAGAATAAAGAAGAATGAGAGAAATCGGAAAAAGAATATGCCCATTTTCTTTGTAACAGTGAGATATCATTATCATTATTAGATATTATTTGAATATTCTTTATTGTTCTGGTCTGTGTGTGGTTAAAAAAAGAGCCAGACTGAGATAGAAGAGGAAATGTTCTATTTGGAGCCGGTACAAATCCTTCGTCAGCTGGGATGTATTGAAGGATAGGATAGAAAGGTAGTCTCAGTGGTGGTAATGCTACAGTTATAAATCATTCAGAGCTGTCTAACCTTTGTGTAGATATTAAAAGAAGCAGGAGCAGGAGAAAAGGAAAAACGAATGAGGGGCAAGAGGAAATAAATGAAAGCACTGGAGCCACTGTACTTTCATGGTTGATGAAGGGAGAGGTTGGCGACCATTTTCTTCCTGATGGACATAGCCAGGTTGCCAAGTGCTCCTCCTGAGCATCAGGGGCTGCAAAGCCCCAGTGGCCCTTGACCTCTTGGCCAATGGCAGAGGTCAGAAATAATGTCTTCTATCAGCTTGGCTGTCCTAGGTACTCCCTTTACTTATTGAAAATGTAACAAGTAAGGCCTTAATGTGGATAGAGCACACTATGGACCTCAAAGGCCAGCTTGTTGGAAGGCAACCCAAGTGTGAAGGCTGAAGGGTGGTGACATGCAGCCCTCCCCCAGCCGGATCTTCAATAAACAGACATTTTATTTGTGAGTTGTGCATGCCAGTTCTCCAGAGAAGTGCTGCTTTTATCATGACCCAGAACAACTCTGTTGGACCTGAAGCTCCACCAGGGATCCCTTTCTTTCTTTTGTTACCACGCAACAGTTTGCTTTGACACCATCCTGAATCCAGCTGCAAGTACTTGAGACTGAAACTGCAGGATTAAGGATACAAATTGCATGGAAAGCAACAGAACTCACGATTGGGGAATCATGGCTGGGATTGGGCCAAAAGACCCATAGAAAGCCACAGTGCTTTAATTAGTCAATGGTGATACCTTGTTGCATTGGTTTCAGTGGGACTTGACCACAATTAGCTTTAGTTGAATCAGGATCATTATTATGATGCTTCACCAAGGTTCCCCAGCTCCCACATGTAGATAAAAGCATTTGAAAAACAAACATAATAATGACTGGAGCAACTTATTATAATCCTCAATTACTGAATGCTTTGGGACAAAGTTATTTTTTCCACTCTTAGAATTTCAAACAAAGCTTAACGAGTCTGTCATAAGAAAGCTGTAGAAAATACTAGATTATATAATTCACTCAGGAAGAAAGTCTGCAACTGATGCAGAAAATAATAATCCTTTTAGGGGCATCAATCAATAAGACCAGTCTGGAGGGCTTTGAAATGTGTTGTCTAAATATTGCTTCCACTGATAATCACTGATTACAAGTAACCTGGCTAAGTATTTTGAATTACCAGTTGATATGTATGTAGGTGAGTATGTATGAGGCAAACACTGAGGACCACAAACAAGAGTATTGTATATTACTTGTAGAGATGCTGGCAAATCTCTCTATATTCAGGGCCAGACATGAGCTGTGGAGCTTTGTAATGCTCACCTCACAGAAGAATTTCAGTCCTCAAATTCTTTTGCACTAGGGGATCTCTGTGAGAGGGAATGTGGTTGCTTCCCATTCAGATTGTTCTTCTGTACAGCCTGTTTATGTCAAAGGCTTTGCAGGGTCAAGAAAGATCTGTTTATCAAAGTGGAGAGGGAAGGGAATCAAATTCAAATTAGCCCCAAAATGAGCCAGCAATTTCTCAGTTTTGGGGTGGAAAGGGTCTCATTTCTGTCTCAGTCCTATGCAAGCCACCTGTCCTATTTCATTGTGGCTTCTGCCAGCTCAAGCAAGGAGGCAGAGAGTTAGGTGGCACCCAAAATAAGCTGGGAACAGAGCAGGTTCAGAGCCCCACCCAGAGCTGCAGGAACTGTAGTGGAGGCTGTGGACTAAGATCCAGGACCATGGAGAGCAATCCGGCAAAGAAATGAAAGACCTGTGCTTTTACCAAGACTTCTGCTCCTGGATTCTTTATGGGATTAAGATGGGCTCCTTTACATGTATTTTTTGGAGGGGGGCAAGGGTGTTTTTCTTGATTACACAACCACCAGGAGGCACTGTGATATGGGAGAACTGCGCAAATAAAACAAGGTTTCAAGCCACCATTGAAGGCTATACCAGACTTTCATCCTTATTTGGGTGTGGGGTGGAAAACCTTGCTAAAATAGTTGCAAATAATGGAAAAAGCAATGGAGTGTTACAGTTTTGTGTGAAGCACCTCTGAACAGCCATGAGTGAGGAATCATGAGCACACAATAAATGCCTCATGCTGAAAGACGCAAGGTACCCAAGGACGGGCACAGAGCAAGTCGACAGGGTGCTTCTTCCCGAGAGAGGGCTCCTGGGACAACCAATCCCAAGGCAATGTGCAGCAGTCGATGTCCCTTATTTTCCGCAGGGTGAAAAGCATGGAAGAAGTACTGGGAAAATATAGGAGGGCCATAAGTGGAAGCTGACCATGTTTGATCCTCTGTAAAATCCTGCGAATGAGGCAAGGCAAAGTTGCTATGTAAGCCTCATCTGGAAGCACTTGGGGTTTCATAACCAGACCAACAGAGTCCTTCTGGGAGATCCACTTCCCCATGTCCTGCTACAACTAGGGCCACGGTTCCACGCTTGAGCAAGTGCTTTGCATGCTCAGATTCCCTTGTTCCGTCTCCTGCAAGTGTCAAAACTCTGGAGAGCCAGTACCTGTCAACACGCAGCAAGGCAGGCCTGATGCTGTTAAGGCAGCTTCCTGCAGGCAGGGCTCTTTGCCTGTTCCTGTTTTCCCCACTCTCAAAAACAGGCAGGATCCAGGTATGCCTTTGGGGGCCAACAAGTACAGGCCACACACTTCAGCTGGGGGGAAAATTATGAGTTATTTCATTAACAAAAATGGAAAAATCAATGAGATATTAATGCAATCTCTTGCACAAAGGCTGCACTAGTTCATGGATGAGAATGGTTCACATTAATGCCTGAACTTTTTTCAAAAGTATAATCAAGGAAAAAAAACATTGGTGTCTTATGCATCTAACACATAATATCACCCTTTCACCTAAATATGCTTTTAGGGTCATAGAAAGATGCATTAAATCCCCTACCACTTTCATAGCAAGTCCATCCATTTTTACAGGAAAAACATTTGGAATAGTGGTTTTCATGTTTGTGATATAACTAAAGGAATTTTTCTTCTTATATAATTGCAGACTGCACTGTAGCATAAATTATCATACAACCCTATTGTATGGTAACATACTTGGAATCCTAGCATGCCTCATACCTGGAACTTGTGTTAGCAAGCAACTGCATTACAACAGCTCATGTGCTGAGAAAACACAGCCTTTTGATTTCTTTCATTAGTGTCAAAAAACTCTAACAAGCAAACAAAGCTAAGTCATACATGCTACTTTTACTTCCATGGTGCCGTCTTGTGTACCATACGGCGCATAGCATCCTTCATGTCTTTATTTCTAAGGCTGTAGATGAGTGGATTGAGCAGGGAGATCACTAGAGTGTAGAACACAGAAACTATTTTGTCCTGGTCCATAGAGAACCTGGAGCCAGGCCGAATGTACATGAAGATGATGGTGCCGAAGAAGATGGTGACGGTGGTCAGGTGGGAGGCACAGGTGGAGAAGGCTTTGAATCGGCCCTGTGCAGAGTGGATCTGCAGGATGGCTACAGCAATGGCAACGTAGGAAGCCAAGACAATCAGAAAAGTTGTCAGTGCAATTGTAGCGGATAAAACGAAATGCACAGCATGGGTAACATGGGTGTCTGAGCAGGACAACTTAAGCATTGGAGGGGCGTCACAGAAAAAATGATTAATGACATTTGAACTGCAGAAGTTCAGACTAAATATAAAAAAGGTCTGGAGAGCCGAACTTGTAAAGCCACAGGCATATGCAGCTGCTACTAATGTGGAGCAAAACTTCTTTGACATGGTAGCGAAATATAGCAATGATCTGCAGATGGCTGTGTAGCGATCATAGGCCATCACAGCCAGAAGGCAACCTTCAGTGGTTATAAAGACAGCAAAAAGGAAGAATTGCACCGTGCATCCCAGGAATGAAATGGTTGTATTCTTGGCCACCAAGGTTTTCAACAGCATGGGGGCAATGGCAGTAGAGTAGCCCATGTCTACAATGGAGAGGTTTCTGAGGAAGAAGTACATTGGCGTGTGAAGCCGAGCATCAATCCTAGTTAAGACGATTATGCCAGTGTTCCCCACCAGTACAATCAGGTAGATTCCCAGGAAGAGAATGAAGAGGGGGACCTGAAGCTCTGGGTGGTCCATGAATCCCATGAGGAGGAATGTTGTCACAGCTGTGTGGCTTTGATTCATTGTATGTTCTTCTCTAATGGATAGCAGGAGAGGAAGAATGTTTGCAGCAGGATTGCTAGGAACGTGCATTAAAATGAATGAATGAATCAAAGTCAATAACACCTTTGAAGTGATAATCAAGGCATGGACCAGCCTTGGGTGTGACAGCCCATTGGTACTTCCATAATCTATTGCAATTTGTGGCAAATTTTCCTTTATTGTTTAAATCGGATCTTACCCATGGTAATCTTTCGAAAAGTATACCATATAAGACAAACTAGTTGTACTCAGGAAAAAAAAAAGCTGCCACCTAAGTTTCCTTAAATCTCAAGAAGAAATTAAGGTTTCGGTTAATGCTTGACAATGTTCCCTTTCCTCTCCTGGCTGATAAATGACAGCCCTCTGCACACCAGCTTTGGCTTGCATCTCACCCTCTCAAAACTGGGAGGGAAGGTGATGTATGTGGAGGTTCCGTCTTGCAGTTAAAGGAGGCAGAGGCACCAGCTTGCTTGTGGCTGAAGGAGAAAGCAAGTGAGCCACTTCAGAGGTGAAAAATGTATTCCTCATTCTATATTAAATTGTGTAAAGCACTTTATAACATGTGACATGCCTACCTACCCACACACCTCTCCCTCTTCCTTTCCCTCCTCCTCCTAATGATAATGATGATGGTGAACTTTTTCATTTTGGGAGAACAGATTTCCCTCCATTACAGGATGAGTTCCAGCTGCCCAATCCCGTTCTGTTTAATATCATTGGTGGGGACTAACAGATTTATTATAGGGTAAGATTTTGTGAAGAACAGCCTGTTTCCTTAGATGCATGGAGCATTATCCTCCATTGGCAGTATAGGCAGTGCTGCTCTTTGGGTTTTACCAACCCCCCCCCCCAAACTTGGATCTCATGAAGGGAAAGAGCCGCTGCAGCCCTTGTAAGGACAAAGTGCTCCATAACGAAGACAAAAAAAGACAGCTGCACTGATGTCTATGGTTTGTAGGGTTTTGGACAGAATCTGTCTTTATCAATCACAATTCTTACTACTTTTGAAATAATGCTTAAAACTCTTGGCATTTCACTTACACAGAGAATATCTTGCCTTCACTATAGCTTCAGTTGCCTCTACTCTTCCATTCCAGGGAGCAGAAATTGGGACTTAGGTCTACCCCCTACCATTGACAGCCATCCAACTCCAAGGTAGTGGTGAAGCAGGAACTAGCCACAGAATAGGTACAGCCCCCATCTTGCCTCAGGAATGCCTTTGTGAAGGGCATAGCATTTTTCCAAGTTGCAGTTTTCTGGCAGTTTGGAACTTGACTGAATGAGGAAAGCCCTTAAAGTTCTTGAGTGATTTTCTCCACTCACCTTGCTACCCATATTTTATTGCTGGCAGCTTTCTGTGGGAGAGCATGGCCATCGTGCAAGCATTTTCACACCCAATGGCTTCTGTGAGATGGTTGCCTGGATGTCACCATCTCTTCAAACACAGCATAGACATTGCTTCCACAACAGCACCCGTCTTGTGAGAAGATGGTGGTTTCTTACTGCTGTTATTTCCAAATAACTTTTTAATATTTTATGTTTGCCCCATGGAGCCCAGAGTGTACATGTGAGCTGTTGGGATGTTGTAGTCCTCTGCATGATCTGCTTCGACTGCGAGGGTCCTGTGGAACACCCTTGTAGAAGCGCCATGGTAGCCATCAGCTAGTATCCAGTGCATCACTAGTGACCAATGTCTCAGCTCTTCCATCTTCACTCAATGGCATGTTATGCCCCTGCAAATAATCCTTTAATTACTTAATGCCTTTAGAAGGCCAATCAGCCTTTGATGTGTCACAGCAGTGTGAAAGAGCTCCATCCAGCCTTTCCATCCCTCCCTCCTCTGACACACAAGTAGGCTACCCATCAATGCGTGAACCTCCTTTGTTTGGTTCTCCTGTGGTGTAATGCTTAGAAGACTATATTGATTTCTGCAGCTCAGGTCAACAGCATTTTAAGAAGGGTAGGACTGTGACTATAACTGGTCATGTGCTAACAGAAAGGCCAACTTCCTATTCATTTGTGAGGTAGGCATGGCCAACCCTTCTTCCCGGCCAAGTAAAATTGCACATTGATGGGTTTGCTGGATTGCATTCAATACAAACAGAATGAGAAGACATTGCAATGGAGTGTTAACTCTCTCCCTTCAATGCCATTGTGATAGGATTATCTCTTATTAATGTCAATCTGCATTTGTATATGGGTTGAAGCATATAGGCTGATTGAAGCCCAGTGAAAAAAATAAATAACCCAGTTGCCTATAAATTTGACTCTGCACTTCTGCACTGCAACTTTATGTGCCAGCTGCTTTCAAGTCACAAGAAACCTGGAGGAGGTATCATTTGGATGCAACATCATTATACGCCTGCCAAACTACTTAGCTTGCAGATAGAGGGTGCAAGGGGTGATGGGGCAGGAAGCCCCAAAATAAATTCTAGATCATTAATTTGCTTCTACAGAATTGAACTGTTCATTGATCTCACTAATAGAAATAACATTTCACAAGGGTTTGAGAGTATATTAATTTGATCAGTAGCCACCTCACCTGCAAACAGGGTGGATGTCATCCCCAAAGCCCAAGAGCAAGACTTATTGATGGAATCACTACTTTTATAGTTTCCTTGGTATCCGCTGAAAGCCAAATCCTTGAAACTTGCTGATGAGGCCCATATCCTTAGTATGCCTTGAATGACCTCTGAGGAAATCACCTGAGGGCATCTTGCCTGGGAATTTGTTCAGTGCTCCTTCTATTCCTCCTTAATTAGTTTCATACAGAATGGTTTGCCCTTGATTCAGTCCACAGTCTTCATTAGTTACTTTCTTCTAATTTGTTTAAAGGAAAGCTCAATGATTAAGTGGACCGTTCTCAAAGGAAGCCAGCAATGCCGACATAGTTAATGAGAGAGAGCTTCTGAAAAGTGTAGAATCCTGAACTACTCAGCATGTTGATTCATACTCAAATGTGAAATGCAGACCTCTTGCATCCACAGACGTGGATTGTGTTAAGAGCCTCTTAGCATGAAGTGCATAACTTGGCGCTCTGCCAAGTCTTCTTTCATTTTCTTTGTGGGAAGACCAGAGTATCCTTCCTATTAGATCCCCCCCCCCCCGAAGGTTTTCCTCTTGGCCTTTCTGTATGCTCCTATATGGCCCATTCCACAACACAAGGTGACTCTGTGGCACAAAGCAGAATTATGAAAATACTTCAGGCTTCTGTAGTGGCTCACATGGCCGTATACGAAAACACGAGACTTTCCTTGCTCTAAAAAAGCTACACACTTGTGTATCCACTTGGACGGGAAAATCCTAAGTGGTCCGGGAGGGTGACGACATCATGAAAAGGCCCTGCAAGCATTCAAGGGAGAGGGATCCTGAACATAACATGTGTGCCTCTTGCAGAGAAGCTCTGAGATGCCGGGGTAGGCAATGGCCCCTTGCTACTTGCATTCCCAGTGGCAGACTGTGTAGTACGTAAGTGGGGCATGGCGGACCTTCAGTGACTGGGATTTCTGAGGCTGTAGACAGGCACAGCTTATGGTGGGTGCACTGATTTCCTTCTCTGGACAAAGAGGTTGGGCAGGGTTTTCAAAAGTTTCAAAGACCTTGCCATCCCTTTGGCCAGATGCCACAGTGAGGCAAAAAGCCTGCATGCACCGGGCTGGTACAACTTGTGATCCAGATGGCCCAAAGATTTTCAGTGTCTGGGAATAGCAGCTGACCAGTGCTTTACGGAATCTAAGGCTGAAGATGGCCAAGCCCTTGGTGGGATGCTACACATGGATAGTAGGTTTGGTGGGTTGTAGGCAGCGATAGGCAAACATGCCAGTCTTAATCTCACGCAGATGTTTGTTTTTCTATGGCTAAATTCATTGAATCCCATTTCTGCCTTGGGCTGAGAATGTTTGTCTTAGTCCAAATGAAAATTTACATGTATTTGGATGCATACTTTTCAAATATACAGATTTTTTTGTATACCTCCCTTTCAAATTGGCGCATTTTTGTGTGCACTTGTCGAAATGAGTGTATCTGTGTCAAGTAATTTTTCAATATTTTCCCCTGAAGGTTCTTCAAACTATGCACATTTAAGGTTCATAAAAAGTTTGTGTGCATGTTTTCCCAAATATGTGCTGTTTTGGTATCCATTTTCTTTTAAGAACTGCATTGCAGTTGTAAGACATGTGCAGATTTTGCTGACTAAGGCCTTCCAATTTGTTTTGAGCTGCAGGAATGTGTAAGCTTGGCAAATTTATGTTGAAATGCTAACCAAACACATTTCTCCTGTAGTCACAAGCTGTGCTGCCTGCTAGCAATGAAATGATTCATTAGTGCAGATACTGATGCAGAAGTGCCTTCTGGTTTGTCTGAAAATGTAAAATGAAAGAATTTCTTGTCCTTACATAGATATTATAACTCCAAACATTTTTCTGTGCCCACCTGGTAAGGTTTCTATATTGTTGGAGTGTACATTTGGCAATTGATTGGATTGGGAATGCAATCAATTAATCAATCAATATAGTAGGTTCCTACAAGAAAGATTGGAACCAAGCCTCCATGATAACATGTATTTTATTAGTATGTATATATTTTATTTACATATATAAAATATTATCTGCAGAAGCAGCTAAGATGCCAATAACAATTTTATTTTATTTTATTTTATTATTTTTTATTTGGGGTATTTCTAGGCTGTCCAATCACTCTGAGTCTCTAGACAGCTCACTACAAAATCAATAAATACAACAGTAAACAATTTTGCATTGTTTAGGGGAAAAGGGGCAAAGGATAAAGATAAACCTGGGCCAGACCATTCTGCTTGGATCATATTTACTCTCCTTATGGGGAAACTTGCCAGCTGGGATAGAATGTGGGTTGGGAGGAGGGAACAGGCAGCTAAAGGGGGCATTCCACCCTGACAATACAGGAGCTTGCATGGCACCTCGGTTGTTGGAGGGCTGACTGTGCGGGCTTTTGATATCTAACATCAGTGGGCTTGCTTGAAGTCATGCTTGTCAGACTGTGTTGATCCCCGCTTCCTCTCCCAACTGCAAGGCTCTTCGCCTTTTGCATCTTTTGGGGTTCCTCTTCACTGCTTCAGTGCTTAATTGGATAACTCAGGCAGAGCATTGGAAAAGTGGCCATGAGGGAGAGCCTCTCTTTCACCCCCCTTCTGGCCCCTGGCGGCTGCCTGCCCTGCTTGTGTAGCAGCACCCAAAGTTTTCCTACATGAGGCATTTGCAGCCTGGTCACTATTCTTTGGCCGTGGTTGTTTACAGGTTCTTTAGACAATGTCGTGATTCTCCAGTTTCACAGTGCTTTCCTGTGGTTTTTAGAGCAGGGAAATGGAGTATTATTTCTGATGGCAAAAAAAGGTCTTTTTCCTACCTGTCTAACTGTGATATTCTGCTATCACACAGTGCCACTTAGGAGATATAGAGCGGACAAGAAGAAAAAGGGAAAGCTCTTTGTGCAGGGCTTTGACCTCAGTGCAGTGATTAACAGGCGAATGCCGAAAAGCTCCAAGTGACAGGCACCAAAATGGGGGGCGGGGGTGGAGCAGGGGGAGAGAAAACCTCCTCCCTCAAATTAAAAAACAAGCTGGAGGACACAAGGCTTGTATCTGAGGCAAGCATTGCAAGTAAAAAGGTTTCTGTTCTGTGCCAAGGAAAGGGAACGTAGGTGACATTTCCTTTGTCAATGCATCAGTTGCCAAGGGCCCCCCAGCCTTCTTCAGCCAGATGTCTGCCAAATCTGTTGGGCGATAAGTTGCACCAACCCAAACAGCATGCAGTTGGGGATGATGGGATTTGTAATCCAACGTATCTGGAGGCACCAGGTTGAAGAAAGCTGTTCAGCCCAATATCTTGTAAGGGACTCAAGTATTCCTTTTATGTATTTCATTTTTGAAAAATGGGGTTGGAGCCAAATTCAGGTATATAGAACTAGGTCTGGCAGGAGTAAACACCCCCTTCCTATTACTTCCTTCCCAGGGCAGATCCCCGAAAATGTTACACATGAGTTGGAGGACTGCCATGAATGGGACGAGATGCAACGTGTGTGCACGTGCGTGTGTGCGTGTTGGGGTGGTGGGGGTGAATTTCTGAAAATCAGCTGGACAGCAAATCCAGCCTTTCTGTATATGAAAGATTAACCCTATGTTTCTAAGCTCCTGTTAAGTGAAAAGCCCACACAACATGAGCCACATCATACATCCCCATATGATAACACCCCGTGCCATGTTAAAAGAGCAACAATTAATAAAATCACCGAATACCAAAAATAAAGCATCCAATACAGACACTTATTTAAACTGAAAAAACAATTTCAGCTAAAAGCCAACAACAGTCCCATGAAGCACACTTTGGAAAAGGCAAGAAAAAACACAGACCTTGGGGGATCTTTTTAATAGACACAGGCATACTATTTTAACTTCCATGATGCCATCTTGTCTACCGTCCTTCACATCTTTATTACATCTACTTGCAACATCATTCACATCTTTGTTCCACAGGCTGTAGATGAGCGGGTTGAGCAGGGAGATCACTAGCATGTAAAGCACAGAAACTATTTTGTCCTGATCCATAGAGAACCTGGAGCCAGGCCGAATGTACATGAAGGAGTGCTTACATCCATATATGCCTGGCCACCCCTTGAGATCTGTGGGAGAAGCCCTTCTCCAGGAACCCTCCGTGAAAGAAATTAGGAGGGTAGGTACTCGGAGGAGGGCTTTCTCTGCGGTGGCGCCCAATCTATGGAATGCACTCCCCAGAGAGGTCCGCCTGGCGCCATCATTATTTGTTTTTCGGTGCCAGGCGAAGACCTTTTTATTTAAGCGTCATTTTAATTGTTAACAATATCTGCTTATTTATCTGGCCAGGGCGACGTCTTTTATATTGTTATTTATTTTATATTGTTATTTTTGTATTTTATTGTATTTTATTTTGTGTTGTGAGCCGCCCCGAGGCTTTGGCAAGGGGCGGCATAGAAATGTTTTAATAAATAAAAATAAATAAATAAATGAAGATGATGGTGCCGAAGAAGATGGTGACGGTGGTCAGATGGGAGGTGCAGCTGGAGAAGGCTTTGAATCGGTCCTGTGCAGAGTGGATCTGCAGGATGGCTACAGCAATGGCAACGTAGGAAGCCAAGACAATCAGAAAAGTTGTCAGTGCAATTGCGGTGGACAAAAGGAAGTGCACAGTGTGAGTGACATGGGTGTCTGAGC